TTGAAAGTACCAAGCTCGTAGCAAGGTTTTATGGGAGAAGTCCCCAAACTTGACAAAATATGTTTTATCGCACCAGCCCAGGAAGTTTTCGATATTCCCTCATGTATGGTCTCATCAGTCCGAAATATCTGAAGTTTCCCAGGCTTTTTTTTCACAATCTTGATATTTTACGTGCCAGGAAAACGTCTTCCTGGCACGTGAAATATCCAAATCGTGAAAAAGCCTGACTGCATGAAATATAACTGAGCAAATCATTGATAACAAGAATGTATCCCCCATAATAAAGATAACAACAATATGCTGATTTGCAAAAATTGAATATCGCTAAAATTTTATAGGGTTCAATTTGTAATAGTTTCTTAAGTGAGCATTTCAAAATCCTAAAATTACTTATCGCTAAAAATGAAATACCAATTTTTTTAAAATAAGAAATCGCTAAATTTGCGTCTCGCTAAAATTTCACTTATACAGTATACTGGCCAACTCTATCCACAGAGCAGAGATGCTACACTAAAATACTGAACATTGTTCCTTGTTATACACTTTCTTTAGTCACCGTCTTATCAAGAAAAGCATTTTCTGAAAAAGTAAATAATAATTTTAGAAATGCACATGTTTCACAAACAGTCATGTTTAAAAAACTTCATCTTGATACGAACAATTTAAATATTTAATTTTAAAAATAAAAAAATTAAGGTCTAATATGATTTTTTTAAAATCGATTCCATTCACTTAGGCAAGCAATACCTTTTTGTCCTGTATATAAACTAGCAGTACAACAACAGAGACAGCGGCAGTTAGAATGATTCCAATAAACGTGGACAGTAGAGTAACCATATTGATGTTGTTGTCTGCTAGATCTTCAGTATTCTTCGGACTGAAGCATAAAGTACAAAAAATAAAACATCATTTCTTGTTTTAACAACTACAGACTGTACCTTTCCCCCCCCCCCTTTTTTTTTGTTTGTTAAAAAAAAATTAGAATGAATAGATAATACAAAAATGTTCGTTATAATATTTTACATCTATACCTGTCGTTTGCCTCCTGGTTAAGTGATGCCGCAGTTTTCCTTGGAGCGTGGGTAAAAATCTGTTTTCCTAGAAATGTAGAATTTATCTTAAGATGAAACTGTCAAGAAATAATATTTTTATATTTATTTAAAGTATAACTAAGTTTTTATTGAAAAAAAAAATACCTCTGAAGACAAGCAGGATCTGAAATAAAATTTTATTATTGATTAATTACCAATTTACAATTATTAGTAATAAACACGATGCATTATAATTAATTAATTGCCAATTTACATTTTTTTTATTAGTAATCAAACTTAGGCTAAGATACGTTAATAAAAGTGAAATTGTTACATTTGTAGACTGTATTGGAAAAATAGTGTCCACTTGGAAAGATGGTTTTCTGGAAAAACGACGTCAATGCTTCCAGTCTTTAAGTTGAGCATTGGACAGTAATCTGAAAGTTCAGAACGTCGTGTTAATTTTCAATATCATTTAACATTGTACCGCTTTATAAATACATTTATTCTTATCTTCATGCAATATCATATACGTCGATGAGTCTACAGTTTAATTGTACTCAGTGTCGGATCAAGGGGGGGGGTGCACTCCCTTTGTATTTGCTAAAAAAGAGACAAAAAGAAGAGGGTCCACAATATTGTATTTTTTGTGATTTTACCATAGAAAATGTTCAGTGAAGGGTAAATTTAGAAATATATATATGAAAGAATTCGGTTGTAAAAACAAAATGACCTCGCTTACAAAACAGGATTTTTGGGGTTTTGGAGATTTATCACAGTTTTTTCCTTTTTTTTGTCGAAAACTCTGAGGTTATCCATATTTTTTCCCAAGACTGACACCCTCCAACTTTTAAAACGATACTACACCCCTGTGGGGGGTCAACATTACCGCTACATGATACGCACCCATCCCTGTATCCTATTAAGTTGCTATTTTGTAAACGTACGTTATAACAACTCTTTCCTATTCAACCCCCCCCCGGGGCAACCCCCTGCCCCTTTAAAAATTTTTAGATCAGCGCCTGATACTTATAAATATTTATACTTCTGAACTTAAACACCGGACCACTTAAAAGGGGATTTAACACAGTTTAGATGATACCGTGAAAGTGCAGAATTAAGTCGCACTCACGGGATTATATTACTATAAACCTTCCAACTTTTTTCCCCAAAAGTTTAAATTCAATAAAATAAATCACTCTTTCAGGACAACCGTCACTTTATGGAACGCGATGCTTACATGTCTCATTATCATGAAAAATTATTAGAAATAAAAGACCACAAACAAGGAGTAAAATACATTTGTAACACAGCTTAAAGGGGGGAAGAACTTGGTGAACATAAAAGGTTTTAGAGCCATTTATTACCTGTTTCCCTGGCCTAACCATAATGCTCCGAAAAAAGTACTTTTGCGGAGCATTATGGGTAGGCCAGGGGAACAGGCTAAGCCATTTATAACCTTATTCACTCCCCTGTGATTTTCTTAACATTCCCATCGATTACTGCTAGATGTGAATAGAAATCGCAATATCATCGAACTTTAGCGCAAAGAAACAATTTAATAATTGATATTAATACATATTGATAAAATAAATAATATTTATTATTTTCAATCACAAATCGTTACAAGTTGAAACATTTACAAACCGAAACACAATATTCACAATTTGCTTCGCTTAACTTGAACGATAACCCCAAAACAAGCAATTCAAATTCAAAGACTTGCCAATATTCAGAAGTTTAAAAGTTTATCCATATATCATTTATAGTAGAACTTTAAATATTATATAACGCATTCAAATCCATTATAGATAACCATTTAACTTTAAATTAATAAATTCAATAACAAACGAACAAAAAAATATATTGTACCTCTGTTACAACGCACTTTGAAAATAAAGGTGTATAGGGGGCACTAACAGAGGACAGCTTCAAGCAACTTAGCATTTATCATAATAAAAAGGGACCAATTTGATTGTTCAAAACTATGAAAATTCTTACTCTCTCATATGTTTTACTGTACTTAAAAATTTATAGTTTTCATCTGTTTTAATAAACTCATTTATTATTGAAAGTTTTCAACGTCTACCAGTTAGGTAAATACATTATTATATGAATGCTTTGAGTATAGCATAGACACCGAGACTGGGCGAAGGGCCAGGGGAGGGGATGGGGGGCTAAGCCCCCCACTTATTTTGGAAAGATATATACATCGTATAAGCATTGAAAATGCAGCGTACCCTTTTTAGGTTTATTGCTCCCCTCCCCCGTTTGTTACCGATACCTATGTATTGGAAAGATAAAGATTTGGACTGAGGGGTCTTATATCCGTCTTGTCCTCTCTTCGACGGGAGTAAATCAATTCATTTTTGAGGTAAGGGTTAGGCTTAGTTTTTTGAAAGATAAACAAGCATTCTGAGAGTGTTGCATAAGCAATACATGTCCCCTACCGGGTTCCCCTTTTCTCTTTCGGGTGTCATTTTATTAGAGCCTGTGTATGACAAATTGCTACTTAAAGTTATGACTTGAATATGAATGAAATATATTTAGTGCATCACGATCCCTACTGTGAACCCAATTATTAAAAAGAAAGATAATAAAAATACCACAATTTCTTCAGAAATCAATGAGTAGAACGAAATGCAAACTTGATCTATAATTAATCAATTCATAAAAGCTATCCAGCAAGTTTCAATTCATGACAATCTCGATTAGAACATAAATTGAGTGCATCACGACATTTAACTATATATAACCCAGTTATAAAATTAAAAAGATAAAAATACCGTCATTCTTTCAAAATTCAATCAAGCAGAACGAAATGCAAACTTGATCTATAACTAATTAAGGTAAAGTCATATACTTAAAACCAGCTCAATATCTGCAAGCGTTTAGGAGAAAAGTGCGGACAACCCTGAAAAATTGAAAAGGCCGTAATTCCGTAAAAAATCAATGAAACGGAACGATATTCAAACTTGATCTGTAACTCATCAAGATACACCCAAGTATTAAAAATCAGCTCAATGTCTGCCAGCGTATGGAAAAAAAGTGTGGAAAACCAAGTGGGACAGACTGACAGACAGACGGGGACAGACAGACAGACAGACGGACAGACGCAGAGGAAACCTATAGTCCCCTCCGGTTTCACCGGTAGGGGACTAATAACAAATAAAATCTTTCCATGACTAAAATATGATTTTTTTTTCTAAGTGCGTTAAGTGTCTCCATGGTAAAATATATTGATGTAGACTCTTAATGCACTTTGAAAAAAAATTTCAAAGTGTGTTGAGTTGGTCCCAAATTTAACGCACTTTGAAAAACTTTTTCAAAGTGTGTAATTTTTTCAAAGTGCGTTGCCACACAGCATGCTGTACAAAGTTTGATAGAACCAAAGACGTGTATAAATAATGTTCCTGATAGAATGGCATCCAAACTTCATAAGCTTTCTAGGACCCGACCTTGTTATTGAGGCATTTGGTCAATTGCTTGCATATCACAATGAATCATGCTAATAAAGAGTGTTTTGGTGGCATTTATAATTAATGTGTAATGGGTTAGGTATGTAGTAGTAAGTAAACATCATACAAACAGAAGGCAAAGTCCTGTCTCAATAGCTGTCAATCTTGTATTTTCATTTGAAAAAATTTTGATTCTGTGATCAGATTACTTGTATTCTTCTGTGTACTGTACAACCATAAGGGTACCTGTATTCAATAAAAATATTTCCTTCAACCTTGCAAATTGTTTATAGTCAAAGTAATAAGTAATCTTAGATTTAATAAAGACATAATATACATATCTTTATTTAAATTATCAAATTTTATTCACAAAATGTATTTTTTTATGGCGAGTGAAATATTTGATTAATTTTTAGGTCGCCATTTTGCGACCTAAGAGCAAGTGTGACTTGGAGCACTGATTCATGCTCTTTACAAAAGAACTAAGTATTAATTTGATATTTTCTTCATAGGTACTTGTTATCCAGAGATCAACAAGAAGATTGAAAAAATTGTTAACAAGAAGAAATGTTTTCCAGACTATCATGATGTCAAGGAGATCATCATCAGTGTCAATAGAAGCAAGTCACTCCACATGACGTAAGGCTGGGAATGGTCGAAGGAAAATCTCTCTTGAACTTTGAAAAGCATTTTACAAGAAATTATCAGTGCCTCTTGCTGTAGGTCCTGCTAGTGCAGAGTTACAGATTTTACGGTTTTCCCTGCTTTGGTAGCATAATAAAACATATTTTCAGAGTTCTATTGTTTCCTACCAGATATCTCAAAGTCGTCATTTAAGATTAGTATGCCGCTTTCTTCCCTTCATTCCCATAACTTCATTGTCGTCATGCAGACGATTTGATTTGTTTAGCAAAGGGGGATAATTCAAAATGAAACGAAAGCAAAAAATAAGTCAGGAATGTAACAGACAGGTTCCAAAATTCAGGAAAATATTAAAGTAAAAGTATTTAATTATTCCTTCAAAAAGTAATCTGGAAACGGGAATATACATGTAAAGACTGCCAAAGTGAACTCTAGATTCTATTGATGCAGTTATCAAAAGAATTTTTTATCCAATCAGAATCAAGTATTTTATAGAAATTAAATGATTGTCAGAGATAGTCTTGAAGTACTACTGGTATCTTAATTTGATGATGCAGAAATATATCCATAAGAAATTTCTGAATAAATAATATATCTCAGTTTTAAACTTGATCAAACCTGATAAAGGAATAATGTTTATCAAGAAAATGTGCATTAGTTGCTTATGGTAATATAATATTCCCCGATGAAATAGGACATAAATCTTGATTTAGGTTCAGGGGTTCAAGGTTAAAAGGCAGAAAGAAAATCTACACAAATCTTACTTCATTACTTAATGTAAACTTTAATGAAAGCATATCAAGCACAATGAAGTCACATGAGTGTAGTAATTTAATTAATAATTTAACTATTCTAGGACATCAGCCATAGACCACTGGTCGAAAGTTGTATTTGAGGAGGTAGGGCGCAATCTCCAGGAGAGGAGAGGGCAGGATTTCATTTCCTCCTTGCTGTGGCACCTCCCTTCAGGGCACAGCAAGAAAGTTAGGTATGTAGGTAAATTTACAATATATTTTGTTTATCATCAAATTTATACATATAAGGTATAATGAGTTTGGTGAATTGAATGTATATCATATCTATATTTACACATGTACATTTATGTTCATTTTCCTGAGATTGACATATTAAATGAGACAAAATTTTAATATTTACATTCAGTGTAATTTTCCTTATTCTATTAGATATCCACGACATTCAAATTTCTATAACACACGCGAAACCTTGTCACAGCGCGTGAGAATACACAGTAGGAACTATATGCATTTTCAGTACTCTAAGAACACCAAAATATAAAATGTTGTATTTCAATTAAATGAAAAACTTTAACCCTGAAAAATTAACGTAAAAATTAACGTATTGTGTGTAAAGAATTATTTTGTCACTTTTTTCCTCGCAATGTTTGTTTGCGTCATTTAACTTTGCAACGTCATCTAACGTCACTTGACGCCACAAACGGCTCTTACATCTGTTAACTACGACCGTTTTGAAGGGCGCTAAATTCACATTTAAGATTAACGAAATGAGCAATTATGAAAAGGAAAAATTAGAGAATGTAAATATAAGCATTGAATTCATATTTTGGGATGTCTTCGGTCCTATAACACACCTGGCCGTGTCGACAAATTATCATACCGGGCTAACGCGCGGTATTCAATTTGTCGGCACGGCCAGGTGTGTTATAGGACCGAAGACATCCAAAATATGAATTCAATGCTTAAATGAATTTCGGTCATTGATTTATATATTCTTAAATAAATTGTAAAACTGAAATTTTTAGGAGCAGTTTTTGCAGTCATAAATTGTGAATCTCAAGATGGAGCCCTGGACAGTAGCATTATCAGTGAAGAAAGCAGAGAATCAAGTCTACCTTCATTTTGTACGCCATTGTTCTGTTGAAAAATTATACTCTCTGTTGTTTATTACCTGAAGATATTTGAAATATTTCATTTTTAGCTCACCTGAGCCAAAGGCTCAAGTGAGCTTTTTAGCTCACCTGAGCTGAAAGCTCAAGTGAGCTTTTCTGATCACATTTTGTCCGTCGTCCGTCTGTCTGTCTGTCTGTAAACTTTTCACATTTTCGACTTCTTCTCAAGAACCGCTGGGCCAATTTCAACCAAACTTGCCACAAAGCAAATCTTTACGAAATTCACACTGTATGGTGCTGAAAAAAGTTTGATTTGCAATTTATTGAAAAGTATTATATCATATATAATTATATTGTAATTGTATATCGTTTCTATAGATGTGGTAATTATTTTACGCATAAAAACATGTTAGAAATGAGGTTTCTAAGGAACTTAAAAGTTATGTATCAAATGTTAAAAGCACTTTTTTGATTGTGATTAAATAAAACTGATTGAACTCAACAGTTATTAAAATGTTAAAAGCACTTTGGATTTTGAAAATTTGCTTTGAAGTATTTAAGAATTCCCCCTTTGCTAAAAAATAAAATTAACATAAGAATATCAATCCAAGTATATGTTGACTATCCATATATACATGTAAATAGTCAATACATATATAACTCAGAGCGGTTGCATCTCGGATATACATATCTAATTAAAATCAAATAACGTCGTAAAATGGCTTTGCTTTTATTCAATTACTCTTGCTGCACGATAAATTCAATTAAAAATGCCTTCTAAACTTTATGTATTAAAAAGTATAAAAAGTTAAGACCCTCCCTCCCCCCCCCCCCCAGCCCCGCCTCGTGTGTAACAGCACATTCTAAAATGGAGCAGAATTTAAGCAGTTCCATCAACTATGCATATCAGATTCTGAAGTTTTCGTATTAACTAGTATACAGACTTAAGAGTTCTACAACATCCCAGGTACAAAATGGACCCTTGGGGTTTGATGCTCATTTCCCGTTCTTGAAACCTGTAGGTTAAATTCAGTCTCTTTCCCAGTGCAGCGTCAAAAACTTGTTTAACACGGACAGTGACAGTTCCCTACCTAAGTCTTTAGCATTCAAAGTAAATGTCATGGGTCTTTTGGATATTATCTTTCTTTTTTTTTACAAAAAGGGTCCCGTCCTTCGTTGGGCGTTGATTATTATTGCAACTATGCATAAACACTTGACCTTAATTGGATGATTCCTTTATCTGGTTGAAAATCATTAAATGGGGTAAAGCAACATTCATTTTTCAATCACATAACACATTGAGGAATCACCCTCCACTTTATTAGTTTATTTTCTAATGTTATCGATATGTCGATGGACTAATTTAGTTAATATAAAGACTCAGTTAATGTCGATGATAGAACAAGTGTGATGTATATTATGTCCTATATAAAGACTCAGTTAAATGTCACGTGACATGTTTACAAATACAATTTAAAAAGTCTATAGTACAAATATAAATTATGTTGCCATTCAACAAAGATTATAATTGCTTTTATCATTTCTAGAACATATATAGGACTCATAAGGAAATACAAAATATTTGCAGAACTCATAACGAAGTTCAAAGAAGTAGCATATATAGATATACTAAACTATCATTATAAAAATAAAAGATAACTCATATTCACACCTTTTATTCTATAAAAAGTTCTTATTTCTTAATTTTTATTAGACATTTCAAAGAAACGTCTCCACTTGTAATTTCATGACATCCAGTCTTCTCAGTCCTTTGATTTTTGGATTTTTAAGTAAAAGTTAACTTTTTTTTTTTTAGTAAATATGCATGGCTGATATAAACCTTAGTAAATCAACAGAAAATTGTAATATAACCAAAAGTTTATAAAAAGAAATAATCTACATAAGCTGATATCCTTCATTGTGAGTAGTTAGCTTTTTCTCCAAATATCGTAAAAATGAAGTGAAAAGTTTTTATTCAGATGTCATAACCACCTTTAACCAAGTTCATAATTTGGTAGTCACTTTTTATGTTTATAAGAAATTTACATTCAGATTTTGGTGTTGGTTAAAGGTGGTTATGACAAGGAGTTATCTAACACAGCCACCCTCTTGTGTTTTCCCATTACTCTAATGCTTACGGACCGATAATACCTTACTTTGTGACCCTATATCATTAAAAATACTATTGTATAATTCACCATATTTATCATTAAATTAGAACACAAGTCTATTGATTTATGCAATTTTTAAGGGAAAAATTTATCTTAAAGAATTCCTTTGTACAGAAACCACACTTTGTCTGCGTTATTGATGCATAACTAAAGTACTATCTGAAAATTTGAAGTCACTGTAGGCCGCAAAACGGCCTTATAGAGAATGATCCTTTGTACAGCATGCTGTGTGGCAACGCACTTTGAAAAAATTACACACTTTGAAAAAGTTTTCAAAGTGCGTTAAATTTGGGACCAACTCAACACACTTTGAAATTTTTTTTCAAAGTGCATTAAGAGTCTACATCAATATATTTTACCATGGAGACACTTAACGCACTTAGAAAAAAAAAATCATATTTTAGTCATGGAAAGATTTTATTTGTTATTAGTCCCCTACCGGTGAAACCGGAGGGGACTATAGGTTTCCTCTGCGTCTGTCCGTCTGTCTGTCTATCTGTCCCCGTCTGTCTGTCAGTCTGTCCCACTTAGTTTTCCACACTTTTTTTCCATACGCTGGCAGACATTGAGCTGATTTTTAATACTTGGGTGTATCTTGATGAGTTACAGATCAAGTTTGAATATCGTTCTGATTCATTGATTTTTTACGGAATTACGGTCTTTTCAATTTTTCAGGGTTTTCCGCACTTTTCTCCTAAACGCTTGCTGATATTGAGCTGGTTTTAAGTATATGACTTTACCTTAATTAGTTATAGATCAAGTTTGCATTTCGTTCTGCTTGATTGAATTTTGAAAGAATGACGGTATTTTTATCTTTTTAATTTTATAACTGGGTTATATATAGTTAAATGTCGTGATGCACTCAATTTATGTTCTAATCGAGATTGTCATGAATTGAAACTTGCTGGATAGCTTTTATGAATTGATTAATTATAGATCAAGTTTGCATTTCGTTCTACTCATTGATTTCTGAAGGAATTGTGGTATTTTTATTATCTTTCTTTTTAATAATTGGGTTCACAGTAGGGATCGTGATGCACTAAATATATTTCATTCATATTCAAGTCATAACTTTAACGCACTTTGTCAAAAAAAAAAATGACATATTTTAGTCATGGAAAGATTGCTTATATTGCTCTTTGTTATTTATCTTTCAAAAAACTAAGCCTAACCCTTACCTCAAAAATGAATTGATTTACTCCCGTCGAAGAGAGGACAAGACGGATATAAGACCCCTCAGTCCAAATCTTTATCTTTCCAATATATAGGTATCGGTAACAAACGGGGGAGGGGAGCAATAAACCTAAAAAGGGTACGCTGCATTTTCAATGCTTATACGATGTATATATCTTTCCAAAATAAGTGGGGGGCTTAGCCCCCATCCCCTCCCCTGGCCCTTCGCCCAGTCTCGATGTCTATGCTATACTCAAAGCATTCATATAATTATGTATTTACCTAACTGGTATGACGTTGAAAACTTTCAATAATAAATGAGTTAATTAAAACAGATGAAAACGAGAAATTTTTAAGTACAGTAAAACGTATGAGAGAGAAAGAATTTTCATAGTTTTGAACAATCAAATTGGCCCCTTTTTATTATGATAAATGCTAAGTTGCTTGAAGCTGTCCTCTGTTAGTGCCCCCTATACACCTTTACATCTACTTATCAAAGACTAGAATCAAAAAAAGGGGGGAAAGGAATTAATGAACTTAAACAATCGTCACTCTTTTTTTCAAGACCCTTTAATTTTCCCTTTTATTTTATCAAAAACTTAAATATTTAAAACGTCAATATCTCAGGTCCTACAGTGACTTTATCATAAAAAAGTTATCAAACCAGGATCTGTTATTTATCATACCGATTATTTGAAGGAATATTGATCAATCTTTACATTTTTTTCAAAGTGCGTTAATATGGTCGATATTAACGCACTTTGAAAAAATATTATTTTTTTCAAAGTGCGTTAGCTTGGTCCCAAATTTTAACGCACTTATAATATTTAAAGTTCTACTATAAATGATATATGGATAAACTTTTAAACTTCTGAATATTGGCAAGTCTTTGAATTTGGATTGCTTGTTTTGGGGTTATCGTTCAAGTTAAGCGAAGCAAATTGTGAGATTGTGTTTCGGTTTGTAAATGTTTCAACTTGTAACGATTTGTGATTGAAAATAATAAATATTATGTATTTTATCAATATGTATTAATATCAATTATTAAATTGTTTCTTTGCGCTAAAGTTCGATGATATTGCGATTTCTATTCACATCTAGCAGTAATCGATGGGAATGTTTGGAAAATCACAGGGGAGTGAATAAGGTTATAAATGGCTTAGCCTGTTTCCCTGGCCTACCCATAATGCTCCGCAAAAGTACTTTTGCGGAGCATTATGGTTAGGCCAGGGAAACAGGCTAATAAATGGCTCTAAAACCTTTTATGTTCACCAAGTTCTTCCCCTTGAAGCTGTGTTACAAATGTATTTGTAGCTCCTTGTTTGTGGTCTTTTATTTCTAATAATTTTTCATGATAATGAGACATGTAAGCATCGCGTTCCATAAAGTGACGGTTGTCCTGAAAGAGTGATTTATTTTATTGAATTTAAAGCTTGGGCAAAAAAGTTGGAAGGTTTATAGTAATATAATCCCGTGAGTGCGACTTAATTCTGCACTTTCACGGTATCATCTAAACTGTGTTAAGTGCCATTATAAGTGGTCCGGTGTTTCAAGTTCAGAAGTATAAATATTTATAAGTATCAGGCGCTGATCTAGAATTTTTAAAGGGGCAGGGGGTTGCCCGGGGAGGGGTTGAATAGGAAAGAGTTGTTATAACGTACGTTTACATATATAGCAACTTAATAGGATACAGGGATGGGTGCGTATCATGTAGCGGTAATGTTGACCCCCCACAGGGATGTAGTATCGTTTTAAAAGTTGGAGGGTGTCAGTCTTGGAAAATATATGGATAACCTCAGAGTTTTCGACAAAGAAAGGAAAAAACTGTGATAAATCTCCGAACCCAAAAGTCCTGTTTTGTAAGCGAGGTCATTTTGTTTTCACAACCGAATTCTTTCATATATATATTTCTAAATTAGCCCTTCACTGAACATTTTCTATGGTAAAATCACAAAAAATACAATATTGTGGACCCTCTTCTTTCTGTCTCTTTTTAGCAAATACAAAGGGAGTGCACCCCCCCCCTTGATCCGACACTGAGTACAATTAAACTGTAGACTCATCGACGTATATGATATTGCATGAAGATAAGAATAAATGTATTTATAAAGCGGTACAATGTTAAATGATATTGAAAATTAACACGACGTTCTGAACTTTCAGATTACTGTCCAATGCTCAACTTAAAGACTGGAAGCATTGACGTCAGACTTTGTCCAGAAAACGCAGTCTTTCCAAGTGGACACTATCTTTCCAATACAGTCTACAAATGTAACAATTTCACTTTTATTAACGTATCTTAGCCTAAGTTTGATTACTAATAAAAAAAATGTAAATTGGCAATTAATTAATTATAATGCATCGTGTTTATTACTAATAATTGTAAATTGGTAATTAATCAATAATAAAATTTTATTTCAGATCCTGCTTGTCTTCAGAGGTAGTTTTTTTTTCAATAAAAACTTAGTTATACTTTAAATAAATATAAAAATATTATTTCTTGACAGTTTCATCTTAAGATAAATTCTACATTTCTAGGAAAACAGATTTTACTACCCACGCTCCAAGGAAAACTGCGGCATCACTTAACCAGGAGGCAAACGACAGGTATAGATGTAAAATATTATAACGAACATGTTTGTATTGATCTATTCATTCTAATCTTTTTTTTAACAAACAAAAAAAAAGGGGGGGGGAATGGTACAGTCTGTAGTTGTTAAAACAAGAAATGATGTTTTATTTTTTGTACTTTATGCTTCAGTCCGAAGAATACTGAAGATCTAGCAGACAACAACATCAATATGGTTACTCTACTGTCCACGTTTATTGGAATCATTCTAACTGCCGCTGTCTCTGTTGTTGTACTGCTAGTTTATATACGAGGACAAAAAGGTATTGCTTGCCTAAGTGAATGGAATCGATTGTTAAAAAAATCATATTAGACCTTAATTTTTTTATTTTTAAAATTAAATATTTAAATTTGTTCGTATCAAGATGAAGATTTCCTTCATAATATCACCTGACTGTTTGTGAAACATGTGCATTTCTAAAATTATTATTTACTTTTTCAGAAAATGCTTTTCTTGATAAGACGGTGACTAAAGAAAGTGTATAACAAGGAACAATGTTCAGTGATTTTAGTGTAGCATCTCTGCTCTGTGGATAGAGTTGGCCAGTATACTGTATAAGTGAAATTTTAGCGAGACGCAAATTTAGCGATTTCTTATTTTAAAAAAATTGGTATTTCATTTTTAGCGATAAGTAATTTTAGGATTTTGAAATGCTCACTTAAGAAGCTATTACAAATTGAACCCTATAAAATTTTAGCGATATTCAATTTTTGCAAATCAGCATATTGTTGTTATCTTTATTATGGGGGGATACATTCTTGTTATCAATGATTTGCTCAGTTATATTTCATGCAGTCAGGCTTTTTCACGATTTGGATATTTCACGTGCCAGGAAGACGTTTTCCTGGCACGTAAAATATCAAAATTGTGAAAAAAAAGCCTGGGAAACTTCAGATATTTCGGACTGATGAGACCATACATGAGGGAATATCGAAAACTTCCTGGGCTGGTGCGATAAAACATATTTTGTCAAGTTTGGGGACTTCTCCCATAAAACCTTGCTACGAGCTTGGTACTTTCAAAATTTAAAGGGGTCATAATTAAACAATAAAAGTTTTGAAAGTTAAAAAAAATAGCTTGGTATGTTGATTATATATGAATTGTAAAATTATGTCGATTTATCATCAAATACCAAGGACATGAACAATATATTAGAAAATTTATTTACCAAATAAGTTCCCCGAAAAGGCATTTCAACATATACAAGGGTTGATCCAAAAGTAATGTCAAAACTTCGATAAAATCGCTACCCGTCGACGTAAAACAACAAAATTATTAAGGATGAAAGCTACATTAATTTCAAATTAGACCTGAAAATTTCAATTCAGCAAGATTTATACTTTTCAAAATATCGGATTATATACAAATTGAGATTATGGTAGTCGCCGCATCAAAATAACGTCATATGACGGATACGCGCCGTCATACATTTAAACGCTTCCCTTCGTTTCATTAAAAATATGAGAGAGCCACGAACAAGTTCACAAATTTCACTTTCTTAGAGAAAACTTGGTACCCATCGTACACTCACTCTTTCCATAATTAATTCTTCCGTCAAAATTCTTTGAACAGTAGTATAAGACCAACTTAAAATTTCTCATATCGCTCTTACCGTCTGTCTTTTTTGGTAACGCCACACACCATTGAACGTTTCCGTCCGTCCTCTCATTTGGTCTTCTTGTCATCTGCTTAGCATTCAATGACCCATCATCCACCCCAAATCGCTGAAACAATCTTAACAAGTCTCTTATTTACATTCTTTTCTCTGTGAGACTGTTGAATCAACGTAACTATCTCTTCTGGTGATTTCTCCATTTTGAAGCTAAAAATGCATTACAATTTGCTCTGGCTTCCTTTTGACATTTCCTTTTTTCGATGCAATGCACCGGAGTAAAACAACGATGTTTTTTTTTTATAATAAAAAATAGCAATTATATCATATACTTTTCAACTTAAGACTAGAAAATGATGTAAATTTTTGTCTTTTAAAATATTTTCTGATTAGGCGATTTTAATAGATGTTTTTAATGTGTTTGTCTTTTTTAATTAAAAAAGTACACTTAATTTGAGACGTTCAGTTGTGATGCGGCGACCCCCCATATGTTCTATGTTTTAAATATCTATGAAATAAATTCAGTTAAACATTATTGAATGAAAAATTAAAGTTTAATTCGATTTATATTTGTGCATCTTTTGGTATATTATATTTGATAATATGACGCCTATTATAAAAGATATGGACACTGTGACATTACTTTTGGATCAACCCTCGTATTTTATATAAATCCACAATTTAGGCAAATTCTACAATATAAATTGGTGGTTTTTTTTTTTAAATAAACTTTTATATAAATGACCAATTTACATTGTGTAGTCACCAGTCGCCGTAATCATTGATTTTTTATGACGAGATTGCATCTCTGACACTTCCCCTGCCTTTTTTTCTTACAATTTCACTGACAAGATATACACTTGAGTTACCCGTAAAAACAGACTGAAACTTGTCTTGTGTATATGACTTCAATTATATTTTAATATTACGGATGCGTTGTAGTTGGGAATATTCATGTGATAAGAATACAGTAGTTATTAATCAGACATGATACATTAGCGTGTTGGTCACACAGAGACAGCAAATATAGTCATGACCGTGTTACATTTAGTATAGTTAATCATAACCGCATAAACAATATGAGTTAGATCATTTGTAACTCCTCGCTAATCTCGTACATGTTCATGAGTTCAGTTTCCAAGTACTTGTGTTCTCGAAGTGTTTCTTTTCTTCAATTACTTGCATATTCTTTTCTTATTTTTTGTTCTGAATAAAGATGTATTTTTTATCTTTGCAAAGATCTCTTCGAAAATAAAACACTTTATATAAAAAAAAATAAAATATTAGAATATGTCCCCTAACTTGGAATATAGAACATTGAATTAAATTAATCATGTTAATGTAAGTCGGTGTTTGAGGGTTACATCAAAACAAATAAATATATATAGTATACTAGAAAAATTTTGTCTCGTATAACTTACGTTGCACATTATATCCTCCGAGGAAAAACAACTGTATGGTAGACTTATCCTTGGCTCTACTCAAACTTGTTTAAAATATTTTGTCATTTTTTCCAACAAAGCTGGGATATAATATATATCCTCCAACTGAGCATTTGAATCTATTTGTTGCGTTCAAATTCTTTTTTTTTTTTTTTTTATTTTATTATTATAATTTTTTTTTAAACTTTTTTTTTCTGTCAAAACAATAACTGAAAACCTAGAGTCTATCCCCTCCCCCCTCCCCCCCCCCCCCTCTCGCCTACAACACCATACAACAGCAGTCAACATGGTCAAAGCGAGATAACTCCAATTTCACAATATGGAAACGAGGCCGAAAAACAAATGTACTTCCGGTAGTAAACCTAGATGAATGAAGAAATTTAACTCAGGTCCAATTTGGACAGAATATGACATCAAGACGGTAAGCAGGGTACATTTTGTTGTGGTACAATGTAGGTTTTATTGATATATGCTGCACGGGTTATGGCAGAATGTTGTTGAGTGATCCCGATCTCTGTAAACACAGGGTCTGTCAAGCAGTGTTTTCCACAGGTGGTTTGAAATGCTTTTCCAGTTAGGTGTGTGTTGCCTTTCAGAAACGTACTTATTAATCTCAGTGGAAAGAGTGGTTGATGAACATTACATAATCGTACCACTCATCTATTCGCACATGTCATAGGTGGCAGGCCTATAATTTGAGAAAAAAGTATTGGTCATTATTTGATGTAAATTCTTTTTGTAATAATTTAATAAATAATTTTTTAACCTTTTTAATAAAGTTGCATGCATTTCCTATTTAATTGGTCCCATCAAGATTGCCCATAGTAACCAAGATAGGTTCCTGTAGGGTGCAAAATGAACATTTACATTCGGTTTGATATAAATTCAAAGGTCTAACAATTCAGAATTTAGAGATACAGTCAAAAGTGTTTGCATTTAAAGTATTTGTGTGTACTTAAAAATAGTTAAATATTTAAATTTTTGGCATTGTAAATTTAAATTCCATTTTGGAATATCATACTGCAGTCACCCATCCAAGGGTTAAGCAGACTCTCCATTGCTCAACTTGCCTGAGATAGAGGGAGACACTATCGTATCACTTGCTGCAGAACTGTAGCTCTCTGCTTCAGAAAATTTGGAACAGGTAAAGCTGAGAGCTACAGATCCAAACTTTGTAAAAACCTTCGCTTTACACCGCCAATTTTTGTCGCAACTTTAGGTATAATTTCTTGTATTTTCTACTTTCCCCAGCTTTAAAAATAGTATTTAATAATTAATCATACATTTAACTCCAATTCCTGATAACTTACTTACCTTTCACATGTGTTATAACTCTAACAGAAGGCCGTTTGTGGTTACGGAAGTTGAAATGGGACTCTATTACACCGACATTACAAAACTATATACAGGACTGTTTCGGACCGTTTAAAGGTAAATAAAGTATTCAAAATAAGAGTTAAACTTTTGATTAACTATATGATACCATTCTAAAAGCCAGAGAAAGCTTAAACGACAATAAATAATACCTAAAGTAGCGACCCCCCCCCCAAAAATGGTGGCGTAAATTGAAGGTTTTAATAATGCTTGGATAGTAAGTCTCTGCTTTACCTGTTCGAATTTTCTCAAGCAGAGAGGTACAGTTCTACAGCTACTGTATCACTAGACAAGCTAGCTCACTAGTGAGGCAGTATAATTTCCCTATTTACTGTCCACTACACCCCCCCCACCCCACATGGAAGCTTTGACCTGAAGCTTAGGCTTAGTTGTCTATGATCTGGACCTCTTCGGTACTGGCAATCAATGCCTAGCCTTAGAGCTTCCTGAAGTAGGCCTGGAACCTCTTCAGTCACGGCAAACCCTGCTGTCCACAGACACAGTCTGTAAATGGACACAAAGTCCTAGCTCCAAGACTTCCTGAAGTGGGTAGCCACTACGCTGCGACAAATTTTGTAATGTGAAGCGGTCACCCATCCAAGAATTAAACAGGCTTTTCATTGCTTAACTTGCCTGATATATTCAGAAGAGATAAGAAGGGAGACTCTACTGCATCACTAGAAAAGCTGAGTTCACTAGGGAGACCAAATAAAAAATTCTACCTGTGCATTTTCATGAATGTGGGACTAGAGCTGAGATGACAAAAAAGAGACTTTTTGAAAATGCATTTTAGGCAGAACACACAATAATTTAATGAAATATTGCAATTACTTTTGAAATAGGAAGACTTAATATAAGTATAAGATGTTTTCCGGAATTACTTTGTATTCAAAACTTCTATAGCAAAATAATGTTTAGGCACATACCAAGAACTCACTGAAGGTAAAAATGTGCATTTTAGCATCTACTTGTCTGTTTCCATTGCATTAAATTGCATTAGATTGAAAATAGTGACAGATTTATGAGTGAAGATAGGGTTCTCTTCCAGAACTTTAATTGTACTGTTAAATAACATTTTTATGTCTGAAGAAAAATTTGACTGCACTTAGTGATTCAACTGTTAAATACATGTACGTGTTTCTTAGCCAACCTTTAAAGTAAATTTGCCCAGAATGTTGATTCATTCTAGTCCATTTCTCTCTGTAAACATTTTGCACTTTCTCCAATTTTTAATGATGAAAATTTGCATTTGATATGTGAGGCTTCCAACTGTTTACAAGTTGAGATACAGAAATAATATAGTTCACTAGCATGACTAGGCGTTATTATTTTGGGAGTTCACATTTATTCTTGATAAAGTCTTCAATCCGGCTTAACTTCCTTATTTAATATGTAATTTATTTCTTTAAGGAAAAAACAAACAATATAAAGAACTGAATCAAACAGGAAGTGACAAGATTTGGGATCATATACTTCTTATTTTTTCTTTGTTTTATTTGACAAGATTACAATGTAAAGGTGTACAGTTTCGAGGCATCTGTAGTATTTCAGTTACCAAGGAAATAATTTAAAAATATAAGTATATTCTAAATTCTAATTTTTATTTATGATTTAGTCTAATAACAAAGTACTGTTAAATCATTAATTTAATTTTCATAAAGGGTGGGGTGGGTGTAACAATAACATATAATACTTGTGCTTATGTTTTCCTCCCAAGAATGAAATTTGGTATAGAACATCTGATTATGACAAATGTTACCTCAGTTGTCTTAATTTTTTTTTTATCATAATTAATTCCGATATGGTCAAAGTCAAGGTTGATATCAGAATAATATTATAGAACATGTTGAAAGAGGAAAAATATATAATTTGCAAAAGCTTAGAAAAACTTCACTTTGCAATCACCCCAGAATGTACAGTTTTAGACTTATAATTATCCATTTTTTGGTTTCTAAATATCAGACTTAAAGTTGAATTTTCTTCACATTTATATAAATCCTTTTATAAAAGGTACATGTACTTTTATCACACGATTGCCATAATTAGGATTAATGAAGATCAATAATACGATAAAAGTCAAATTTAAAATAAACTTCAGAAAGTAAAATATTCAGATTCTGATATTTGACTCAACATTGTTTATAGGAAAATGAACTAAATAGAACAAAAATACATGTACATGATATGAAGAAACTTGTTGCTTGTTTAATCGACGCCTTAGACTTAGCGTATCTTTATTTGTATGGATGTGGTACTCTAGTAAACACATACATGTAAGGAGTTGTCAGAACTTCCTGGTCCTCGGGAGAAATGATTACATAATGCCCCACATGTAGTGAATGGCTTTGTATTCTAACTATACATGAGGAAATTTGAGGTAAATGAAAACTTGTGATCTTTACTGGGGTGACACTCGAGTGCATGAAAACCCTTTGTGTTTGAAGTGATGGATTACTGTTTGAAGGTCAACTCATATGTAAAGTAGGTCAGGAAAAAAAGAAAGGATGCATTTTACAGTGAAATGTGTATTTTATTTTTACCTCTTTTATAATTTCTGTATAAAGGCATTGTAGCAGTCTAGATTACAATCAATATTATGTATAGGTCTTACTCTTTGGCAAATGAATTTTCTTTTATTCAGAAAGAATAGTGGTTCTTTGTTAAAATCATAATTCTTAGTAGATTTCATCAGTCCGGAAATCTGAGATTCTTTTAGACATTATATGCATATAAACTAAATAGAGTAATAAAGTACATGAATGGAAAGAAAACTAGATGCATGTATATACATGTACTTTTGTCTAATGATAACAATTTCAAATTTTTTAGATTATAGGCATTTAAAACAAGAATATTTTAAAAGCTGCTAGAATAGTACATGCATATACATATATTACTTTTTTAATTATACAATGAATATATGTAAAGCAAATGTAGGGATTTAGGAACCTTTTAACAAAAGCATACTTTGTGAGTACATTGACAAACATGTACATGTATCTGTAAATATCAGTACACACTCCTAAAGATAAGTGGTGAGATACGATTGCCTGATCTGAAGTATGTGACAGATCTTGTAGTGTAATCCCTCATCCAATGGAGAGCTTCAATTATACATGGAGACAAATTTATGAAGTGGTAGCTAGTTGAAGCTGTAGATTTCAGTACCATAAAATTCCTGTCACATGTCGTCAGATACGCCAACAAATAGACAAGTACTTCACGTTGTATATATGTATCCTTGTGTAGCTATCAAATCTTGTTTGTGCAAGGGTTTTGTAAATTTGTCAAATAATTCAGAATAATATATTTAAGTATAAGAGTACAAATGTATGTTTGTACTAAGGATATGAATTTAAATTTGCCAAATAGGGAAGATTTGCTATGATTTATAAATTTTTATCGATAGCCACATTCATTAAATATGAAACCATGTTGCAAATTTACTACATAAATCTAGTGTAGACTTGGCCTTGATGTAAAACAGCTGATGTGAACAAAAATAGAAATAATGACTCATATGTATTGTATAGACTATGTTCTGTTGTACACATTTATAAAACCATATCCTGTATCTATTAATTGCCTGTATATGTACATTTTAGGTCTTCAGGATAACTTCAGTGTGATGAATGAGAGATAAGTTTTGCCTACTTCAGATGCTTCTCCCAATTATTGTTATGTCTCAGTAATTCGTTAGGGCTTAACGATTATGTCTGAGAGGAGAAGCGTTCCTCTGCCTCCAAAAGGAGCCGAGACGGAAAGAATCTCTAAATTGATTGGTCAGCAGAGAAGGCAAGTCCACCAATGAGAAGAGAGCTAGATCTGTTTCTTAAACTGCTTATCAATCTATGTATTTTTCACTGCTTGCCTTATACAACTTTAGAAATTCTTTCTGTCTGCAATCGATACAAAGGAATGAGGACTGCTCACAATGTAGAATAGTAGTTGTCTCTCTTGCGTTTTATTCTGATCTGTTCTGCAGTCACAACTGTTTTCTTCTTGAACACCATTGTAAACCAACTTGCATGAACATAGTGTAACTGCATGTAAGATATTCTAAGCACATTTGCATATCAGTCTTACATGTTATATATTCATTAAATGTAAAATTTAAGAAGGAAGGAACATAAGATGCCACATGTGATCCTTGTGTTGCAATATGCTTTCTGTTAATGGGAGAAGGGGAAAAAGTCTTGCTGCATGCAGTATTTATATCAAATTAAATCAAACATTTTATTTGTTTTTTACTTAATATATATATATATATATATATCTATGTCCATTAATTTGATTAGATTTCCAAATAATGAAAAAAAATGTGTCACAATTTTGTGTTGCTAAAAAATGTACATATGTACCTGGAGAAATCTTCCGTTTTTGGGTCACCAGGTCATTCATGTAAAAGTATGTCTTTTTACAGGTTATTTTAAACAAAGGGCATTCTAAAGGCATTCAGTTGTTTAATTTCCAGCAACTTACTAAAGGTTTTGACAATTATGATCTCTTTAAAAGAAATCCTTAAATGTACGATAATTACGCAGATCATTTACTGAACATTGCAGAAAGTGAAAGAAGAAATATAATTGGCTGCCCTCAAAACTAAAAAAAAATGTTTGGACAGTGTACAAATTTAATAGCTCTTAATGTATCTTTGAATTACATTTATAAATGTAGACTTTTTAAAATTTTCGCTAGCTGTTCTTTTGTTATATAACGTCAGTACTTGTATTAAAGCCCCAGTTTCTTAAAAAGGTGATGCTCTAGCAGCTATAATACATGTAAGCTGAATTAACCTTTTATGGGTGTTGATTCAAAGAAATATTGATTTTATTTTAGGAAGAAATTTTATTTATTACTTTATTGTAATTCATTACTTTATCTATCTATCAAAAATTTAAAAAATTTTAAAACTGAAAATCATGTAATGTTACATTTTCCTTGTAGTTGCATTTGTCTTTACATATATATAGACCAGGCATTAAAACAAATCATTTATATAGTAAGTCAGACAGCTGGGATTTAAAACTCCTCCATTCTTTATGCTTCAAATTTATTTGCATTCAGAAAAAGAGATAAGAAAACTGCACACAGGTATATTGCCTGACACGGTTTTATTGATTATAGAATGATTGGGGTTGACTTCCAAACGGATAAGTAGTTTGTAGTTTTAACTTCCGTGTTAAATTGTTCTGGACCTATACAGTTTCTATATCTGTGGTAAACTCATCGTTATTCAAGAGGAGACTATAGAAGTATTGTGTTGAGCAACAAGTGATTGTACAGTTTTACGTGATTAATAGTCCTGTACCCTTCACTTATTCTGTGTTTAGAAAAAAAAATCGCTCATCACAAGGAAATTATTTAGGGTTTATTTGTGTATGTAAGAAGAAAAAATAGTCATTTTGATGCAGTGACTTTCCTGTAGTGCAGAAATCAGTTTTTCTCCATCAAATTTATTTGTTCCACATTTTTAAATTAGCTGGTTGAACATGAGTTACTGTTTTGTTTTTCTAGATGATTGATCAAATATTTCTTACAGTCTTTGTTTTACACAGAAAGCGATCTGTTTTATTAATACATTGTGGTGTATACTAGATGAAGTATAGGTTTGAATTCACTGCTGAGGTGTGTACCGCTATGTGAAAGTCTTGCTCAAAAGGAAGTTAAGGATCAGGTGAATTGTGTATTACATGTACTTATCTGGACAAGTCATTCTTATTGTGTGCTTACCATGATGGTGGATATATGTTTCCAAGACAATTAAGCAGTTTTCGTAATTTAGTGAGGCAAAATTTATAGCATTATCTGGTATACCTGGAGGTACAATGTACTTATATGGTACTGAGGATTTAAGCCGCTGGGGATATCTTGCCTCTATGATTTAATTTAACGGATGCTTATTAATCAGTTTGCTATAGCAAGGTTTTTGTGATTGAAACCTTAATTGGCAGGGAATTCTACCTTATCATTACATATTTTGCTTTCTGTATTGCTATTTCAACATACAGATTTTTTTCTTTTCGGAAAACAAGGAAACAGTGAGTGGACAAAGGTTAATTACTACTGGTACATGGGAGCTATAATCACTGCTCAAGATCTGATTTCAGCAGCAGAGGAGTTAATTCCTCAATAACTAGGAAGGAATTGTATAAGTGTTGGAACAAATTTTTTCGTTTCCTTGTGCTTGATTGTATAAATGAATGAAGGTTTCTTGAGTGTATGAAGGTTCTAAATTATTATGGCCTATTGAAGGAGAAGTAGAATTTCTAGAGGTCTCTTGAATGTTTTGAATAATGAAGAAAGGTAGTACAAAGGAAGACGCTCTTCCTATACAGAGAAGGTGAGAACCAAGAAATACATTCTACAATACAAAATTTTAATTTTTCATTTCCTTCCTTGCAAAGATGCAAAATTGAATTTTCTAGTTTAACTTTATTGATTATTTAAGTGTTACATGAGGTCCAAGGTTGTTAAAATTTGAGTTTTGTAAAATTGAATACTTTAAAAATATATGTATTTGACTGTTTGTTATAATTAAACTATTTTTGATAGATTCAATTTAATATAAAATAGGTCATGGAATGCATACATGTATAGTACATGTACTCTATTTATGTCAATATATTTTAAAGAAGACATTGTCTTGATTGACTGTAACATATGACATACTTGCTCTGCATTTATGCCTGTTAAATCATAGATCCACTGTATAGGTAAATGTTTGTACCTAAATGTTAGTGTGCAAACATGCAATCTGTAAATATGAATAATTTTTTTTTGAAAAATTATTATACTTACAAATTATCGACCAGTGTAATTAAATGAAACTTGTCATGAGAATTTGTTTAGTTAAGATAAAACATATTTTGAAAAAAAAAATCTATTTTGAAGTTGATCTACCAGTGTTAATTTTCTGTGTGTTGACATTGTAGATGGTTTCATCCCCACATTTCGGGTGTGAAGGCTGAAGAATTATTAAAGGAGCGGGGTTATGATGGTAGCTTTCTGGCCAGACACAGTACCAGTAGTCCTAGTGACTTCACGCTCTCTGTAAGGTAAGAATCGGAAAGGGAATATAACTATGGTGTGGTCATTAATGTACAATAGAACTTGTATAATCTGGACACCACTGGTTCCAAAGAAATTGACAACATTCCAGATTAGACAAGTTTCACTGTATATTTTATCGTACTAGTCCTTGTTACTTCCTGTTATTACTATACTAGGTATAAGACTAAAAAAAAGTAAATTAGCTTGTAATTTTCACTGAATTTTCATCATGTAAACAGAGCTGTACATAATTATTTATACCGGTAGATAAAGACTCCAAGTTGTAATTTGAATGGCAGTTTGTCTTCCCAGGAGCTTGCCAAAAGCATTGTTGGTTAAGAGTTGGGTCATTCATAGTTTTTTTCCTTTCCAAGTTTAGCATCCAAGGTTAGAGCAAAAATTTCTAGTAATTACGTCAGAATCAACCCCTTAACATAGGGAAAAAAACTTGGAATGGCCTGGAATATGAGAAGAGACCATGTTTACTTTAGGATGTCAAATGTGTTAGTATTTGTAACATATGTCCAACATGGTGAATGTCTTGTCTAAAGTGTTGGTAAGTGAAACATCCCATGACAAGCATTGAACGGTCACTGGTAGGTTGTATCCTGTAGTGTGAAGAGCCCCATTAGATTTGTTTCCTTTTGGCGGTGTTGTTAGTTCAATGTTTAGGGGCCTGTATCAGTCACAAACTAGACCCCTAACAGAAGTACTTAGGAAGAAATAAGAATATTAGAGTCTTCAGTGGATGTATAATGTGTCCTAAAATTAGGCACTGCAATTTCCTTGTTGATAGACATTTATTGTTAAATTATATGCACCCCTAATAAGAACTGTTAACTTAGGATGAAAAAAAGAGTTTATCAGATTGTCTCTGTAACTGGAAACAATTTTTTTTGGCAGGCAAAATCCTAATTTAGTCAATATCCTATAAGCCCAGGAGCAAATTTATAGGTACAAACCAGTAGAGCTGCAGTCTCACCAGAGATTTCTTCTGTCTCTGTAAATATCTGAAGTGTTTTATTTGACGCATAAATGCATAATTTATCTAGTGACATTTCTGGGAAATCATCAAATTTTAAATCGTAGATACAATATGACCTAATAATGTTTATCAGGGTACATGTAAAGCCAGATACCAACATTTATCCTTTTCTGCTTCATAGAAAAATCATACTGTCTAAACTTGATAATGTCAACATGGTGATTTTTTAGTGTGCAGGATATCAAGGATAAACTTAATAGCAAGGTTTATATCAAGGTTTATATAAGTAATACAGTCCACCTTGTATTTGATATATAGGTGTTTGAGATAACTGTGTTTGCCTTCAGCAATAAAAAGACAGGCCATTACACTGGAGGGGAGAATGTTCTGCAAAGAGGAGACTTGAGTTTTCTTACTTCCTTGTGCAAAAACTCGTGTAGGCTAAAAAAAATTGTTTGGAAATATTCCAAGTAATGTCAGAAAATCAGTACTTAGAGGGTCATCTCACCAAGATTTGAACAACATTTTGACCAGTTAAATTTACAATTTCACTTGAGAATAACTATGTGAAATTGATTACCATTCTTCCTCTTTAACTCTAGTGCAATAAGCATATTCTTTATGTGAAACTTATATGTATGAAAAAATATTATTTTAGTCCCTGGTTTTGAGATTATTTTCTCATCACACTTATAAACATATATTGGTCATTTTAAAACTCTTCCAGACATGAAACACTTTTAATCCAAGAAGATTTGAATTCACCCACTTGCTTTGAGTGCAATAGTGGTGAAAAGGGGGGGAGGGGTTCCCAGTATACAGTACATTATGTGAATCCCACAGCCCTTTAATATAACAAATGCACCTGTAAGATCCATGTGGTGAATATCTGTTAATGATGAAAGAAATTTTTCAGTGTCTATTAACAAAAGATTTCTGTTATCCTTCATTAAACATTTATATGTATTCAAAAAAAAATTGTGAAGAATTTAATCTTTTGAAGACCCCCTGCCCTGTTATCATTAAAACATGTTAAAGAAAATGATAGACAGACATTCACCAGCATAATGCTCATACCAGACTTATAAAGAGGTCACAGTCTTGTCTGAAAGGTCAACAGTCTGAATGTTTTTGTTTTTGACCATTTACAAGAGAAGGGACAAAGTGCAGTGCTAGACTATAAGAATAAGGTTATATTTTAGATTAGCTGATAGACAGAACAAATGGTTGAACATATGAGTGTTTTGGTTAGTTTGGTTAGCTGGAATAGTTAATATTTTCTGTGACATAGCTGTTTAATGGAATTGAAATAAGATCTTGATCTCCATATTTTATCATTTTATGGCATTTTATTTGTAAGGAGAAGGCTGATATACACACAGGGTTATAGGAATGTTCTAAAAATATTAAATTACATAATCACCAAAAAAGAAAATTATTGTGCTGGCAGAATTATAAATGGCAATTCAAGCATTCAAATTTAGAACTTTAAATGCAAATATATTAAAGGAATCAAAAATCAATAACAATTTCACCACTATATACATGCAAAATACATGATTTCTTATATTTTATTCAGGAGGAAGTCGGAGGTGACCCACATTAAGATCCAGAACAATGGGGAGTTCTACGACCTGTATGGGGGTGAGAAGTTTGCCACTCTGGCAGAGTTGGTGCAGTATTATATGGAGAATCAGGGACAGTTAAAAGAGAGAAATGGGGAGGTCATAGAGCTCAAATATCCCCCTAGAACTCAGAGGACCCCACCACTGAAAGGTCAGCAAGAAATAGCGAGTCCATTCAGGGAATGTTAATGTTACTGGATTTTGTACATTCATAAAAATGATGTTGATCTAAAAATGGAGTCAGTTTCATGCCATTTTAAAATACATATATTGTGCTTGTTGACAACTTGGGTTTAAGGTCAGTATGTTTGAGATTGTAAATGATATGTTTCTTGCAATTCGTCCATTGTTTGAAAATAAATATTCAGATTTCATTCATTTTAGATGGTTCCATGGTCATATATCTGGGAAAGAAGCAGAGAAGGTGCTGATGGAGAAAGGAAAGAACGGTAGCTACTTAGTGAGGGAGAGCCAGAGTAAACCGGGGGATTTTGTCTTGTCTGTGCGGACAGACGATAAAGTGACTCATGTCATGATCTGCTTCCACGATAAAGTGAGCATCAGTTCTGTAAAAATGCTGTCAAAATCCTTATTTACAAAGTAGTAACTTTCCTTTTATGGAATAAATTCAATACTAGAGAGACAAATAATATGGTTGGGAATGGAAAAATTACAGTATACATGTAGTTTTTCAGTTTTACACAGTTACATATATCCCAGTAAATATTACCAGTAATTGATTGTCATTGAATAGGTGTGTTATTGCAATTTTTATTTTGATTTTTTTTTTAAATCATGTTTTGTTTTTGTGTAAAAGGATGAAACTTATGATGTCGGGGGTGGAGAGAAATTCAAAAGCCTGACAGATCTTGTGGAGCATTACAAAAAGAACCCCATGGTGGAAAAACTGGGAACTGTGGTTCATTTAAAAATGGTAATTATGAAAGAAATGGACAAGCAATTTGGCCAATTATGCTTTAAATAAACATATTTAAAAGCTGAATGAGAATAATAAATATTGGTTAAGTGTCTAAACAGGACAAAGGTTTGTAAAATTCAGGAATTTGATACTTTGCATGATTATAAATTAATTGGCTTAAAATTTATTTAGTACCAATTGTGCACAATGCACATTCTAATTTAAAAGATAATTCCATTCCTTGAACGAGAATAGTTTTAAGATAGTTTGATGACTTTTATTTGAGGACCTATATGTTTTAAACATTCATCAGGAAACACATTAAGTGTCAGATTTAGTTGTTCAGGTTTTACAGAACATAGAGGTCTATTTCAGTCCATATTTTGTAGAAATTGATTTTATGATATTAAGAGAAAATTGATAGCTAGGCTTAAAATCTCAAATATTGTTTAAAATGGGGAAACCGTTCATCATTTTATATTCTGAAAGTCTTGGCTTGTCTCTATGAAACTTCTGAGTTTTATGATAAAAATGTTAGTATGGTATAAAAAGCATATTTAAGTTTTAAATACTTAGGACCTGTTTTCCCCGTGGATTTTGTAAATTCAAGTGTGAAAAAGAAATACTTGTTGATAGTGAATCATTTTGTGATGGTTTTCCTGCTTACAAGTGCTTATGTAATAAACCCTGAGTATTCCTATCTAGATATAGTAAGTCAAGACAGTTTCATATCAGTGTAATTATACTGGCTGTGTGGTATAACTTTTCCATGTGCTAGTCAGTCATTTCCTTTTCAGAAGTCAATGATCAATTTTGTTTTCTCTGATTATCTAAAGTGATTCATTTAGACATTAGAAAATGTGGCTATAACCAGTAGGACCAATAGAAAATCCTATTGTATTAATCAACATCCTTGATAGCTTGTCTCTCTTTATATACTGGTAATACATGTACCTAACTTTCTACATACGTTGTAGTATACAGAGGATATATGAAGTGTGAATATACGTATAGTATACAGTAGTGTTGTACCGATAATCAGAAAACATCGATTGTCAACGAAAAAATGCTACCGATTCCGATGATCGATTATTGTTTTTCATAATCGATCATCGGAAACATACTAATTAATATAATATATTATGTGTTAATTATCATTTATCAACAAATTATACAAGAACATCTTTTTTCTTGGTTTCTAATTTATTTATTAGTTGGAATCTCCAGGTTATTTTAATGCTAACAGTACCTGGTCTATGATTCATATGGACAGGCATCACACCATTCACCATACTTGTGTGTTACAAAGCAAACTAGCACAAAGCAGAGGTGATTAAGAACCAAAAGGTGCATTATATAGAAAGTGGAAAAGAAGATAAAAAACATCCAAAACAATATATTTCATATTTATATATCTGCGACAAAGAATAATATGAATTCATTGTTATAGTCTGCTTTTATATACAAAACTATGACATCCGATTATAATCGGTAAAATCGCATCGGAAGCAGTAACCGATTCCAACTGATGATCGATTATGAAAATTAACCGATGTCCCATCACTACTATACAGATATAGTGCACAACTTGCTTTAATTTTCTGCCGGAAGATTCCTTAAGACCCACACGATCCTTTGGATGATGGTCAAACCTCAGTTCTCCAAAACAATTAAAGGACACCCCATTTTCAAAGAATACATTCATGAGTAGATAGATATAAATTCTGATAAAAAATTTTTTATTACATGTCTTGACAAAAATCTGAAAGTGAATTTTCAATCAAATTTATCAATAACACATCTTTACACGAACTAGTACCACTAGTCATTGATCAGAGTATGTACAAGAAAATTTATATCAATAAGAATTCAATTTTTCAAACATTAAAAAAAATAAAGTAAATAAGTGTAAAATTAAATGTTAAATAGAGTATGATTTGGTTTTTCTTGAAGGAAAAAAAATATTGCCCACTCTGGGGACCAAACATGACTGTCTGGAGTGTGAATGATAGATGGCCTACAAACTGGGCCATTGCATCCACTAAGTAAAACACATCTTCAACAGAATCATTTTCTTCTCCTCTTATTATTAATTCATTACTTTTAATGTACGACAAATAGCAGACTAATGACAATAGTAGTGTGTTTTGGTCATTATAGCAAAGGAATAGATACCTAGTGTACCTGTCTTGTATTCTCAGACAATATATCCTACATGTATATGACCAGTATATCAGAATCAGGCATAAATCTTTTTGTATGAATGATATTAGCTGTCATTTTGTCAGTTGTAGTAAAACTTATTTTCCTTTGGCTTTTTAGCTCAGGGAAGCACATCAGAATTTATAGAATATCAGAATATCTTTTATAAAACTCTGAATCTATTTTCTTTTTTCTCACCTCAGCCTTTCAATGCCACAAGAATATCTGCATCAGGATTAGAAAACCAGTCTCGGCAGCTAGAGAAGGAAAAGGACAGTACAAACAATAAAAGAAAAGGGCAGGTTCTGGGTATGAGTTCGAGGTAGGGAAAGCAGAATTATACGGATAAAATGACATTTCTAAATTATAAGAAATAGCCATGCATTGTTGATGTCATACAGCTTTAAAGGTAGCAGACTTTATTAATATCAGCCTTTTTACATGATTTTACACTCGAGCTCTGAGTCATGCATCCTTGTTCTTTTTATGAGGTTTGCTTATTAAATTGATACAAATCTTGAAAAATTGAGTATTTTCACAATTTATATATAATATTTGCATGCAATTTTGGGAAATACTATTGATGCAGGAAGATTTTTTTCTAAAAGCAATTGAAGATAGTATTGAGATGCAAATGAATTAATGATAATTAGTCATTGATATTTATCCATTCATTAGCCTTATTATGTTTCCTTGGCAAACTTTAAAATGTAAGCATGATTTGATTTTTCAGCAATTACAACAGATGGAAGTGCGCCATTTATACAGCAGGAAGGAGGGACAGAGGATAGAAAACAAACCCAGAAACAGATACAAAAACATCTTGCCATGTAAGGCTGGCTTTGTCATGTTGAAGGGGATCAAAATCTTACAGACAGACTTAAAATTTTAAATGAATTTTGCATTTGGCTAAAAATATATTGCCAAGAAAATAAAAAACATATCCTTTTAGCACTTTTTGACATTTGGGGTAGGGGGGGGTTAAGGTTATTGGGAAAATTTTTGTTGAGTAACTGTATTTTGCTTGTACTTGTGTATAATAGAAACTTTTGAAACCCAGTTTAATATCAAAGCATGAAAATTTTACCACTGATGCAGCAGTCTAATAGTAGAATGAATTCACTCAGTAAAATTCTTCTCTTTTTCAGTTGATCACACAAGGGTTGTCTTAAAGGATGGAGACCCAAATGTCATAGGATCTGATTACATTAATGCCAACTTCATCACAGTAAGATAAGCTTAGTAGATCCAATTCTGAAAACATGTACCAATACAAGTTTCATAACCTACTATGCTCATTACTTCTCTCCCAAATTTTAGTGTGAATCACTGTTTATTTCCATCCAGAAATTACCAGATCAAAACAAAACAGTATAAATTGTTTTATTCTTTAACTCATTTTAGCCTTACTGTGATGAAGTTGGCATTAATGTAATCAGATCCTATGACATTTGGGTCTCCATCCTTTAAGACAACCCTTGTGTGATCAACTGAAAAAGAGAAGAATTTTTATTGAGTCAATTCATTCTACTATTAGACTGCTGCATCAGTGGTAAAATTTTCATGCTTTGATATTAAACTGGGTTTCAAAAGTTTCTATTATACACAAGTACAAGCAAAATACAGTTACTCAACAAAAATTTTCCCAGAACCTTAACCCCCCCCTACCCCAAATGTCAAAAAGTGCTAAAAGGATATGTTTTTTATTTTCTTGGCAATATATTTTTAGCCAAATGCAAAATTCATCAAAATTTTAAGTCTGTCTGTAAGATTTTGATCCCCTTCAACATGACAAAGCCAGCCTTACATGGCAAGATGTTTTTGTATCTGTTTCTGGGTTTGTTTTCTATCCTCTGTCCCTCCTTCCTGCTGTATAAATGGCGCACTTCCATCTGTTGTAATTGCTGAAAAATCAAATCATGCTTACATTTTAAAGTTTGCCAAGGAAACATAATAAGGCTAATGAATGGATAAATATCAATGACTAATTATCATTAATTCATTTGCATCTCAATACTATCTTCAATTGCTTTTAGAAAAAAATCTTCCTGCATCAATAGTATTTCCCAAAATTGCATGCAAATATTATATATAAATTGTGAAAATACTCAATTTTTCAAGATTTGTATCAATTTAATAAGCAAACCTCATAAAAAGAACAAGGATGCATGACTCAGAGCTCGAGTGTAAAATCATGTAAAAAGGCTGATATTAATAAAGTCTGCTACCTTTAAAGCTGTATGACATCAACAATGCATGGCTATTTCTTATAATTTAGAAATGTCCATTTATCCGTATAATTCTGCTTTCCCTACCTCGAACTCATCCCAGAAGCCTCCTTTACTTTTATTGTTTGTACTGTCCTTTTCCTTCTCTAGCTGCCGGACTCGGTTTTCTAATCCTGATGCAGATATTCTTGTGGCATTGAAAGGCTGAGGTAGAAAAAAGAAAATAGATTCAGAGTTTTATAAAAGATATTCTGATATTCTTCTAAACTCTGATGTATTCCCTAGCTAAAAAGCCAAAAGGAAAATAAGTTTTACTACAACTGACAAAATGACAGCTAATATCATTCATACAAAAAGATTTATGCCTGATTCTGATATACTGGTCATATACATGTAGGATATATTGTCTGAGAATACAAGACAGGTACACTAGGTATCTATTCCTTTGCTATAATGACCAAAACACACTACTATTGTCATTAGTCTGCTATTTGTCGTACATTAAAAGTAATGAATTAATAATAAGAGGAGAAGAAAATGATTCTGTTGAAGATGTGTTTTACTTAGTGGATGCAATGGCCCAGTTTGTAGGCCATCTATCATTCACACTCCAGACAGTCATGTTTGGTCCCCAGAGTGGGCAATATTTTTTTTCCTTCAATAATGTATCATACTCTATTTAACATTTAATTTTACACTTATTTACTTTATTTTTTTTAATGTTTGACAAATTGAATTCTTCTTGATATAAATTTTCTTGTACATACTCTGATCAATGACTAGTGGTACTAGTTCGTGTAAAGATGTGTTATTGATAAATTTGATTGAAAATTCACTTTCAGATTTTTGTCAAGACATGTAATAAAAAATTTTTTATCAGAATTTATATCTATCTACTCATGAATGTATTCTTTGAAAATGGGGTGTCCTTTAATTGTTTTGGAGAACTGAGGTTTTCACCATCGCTATTGAAAGGATCGTGTGGGTCTTAAGGAATCTTCCGGCAGAAAATTAAAGCAAGTTGTGCACTATATCTGTATAGTAGTGATGGGACATCGGTTCATTTTCATAATCGATCATCGGTTGGAATCGGTTACTGCTTCCGATGCGATTTTACCGATTATAATCGGATTCCTTAGTTTTGTATTTAAAAGCAGACAATAACAAGGAATTCATATTATTTCTTAAACGTGAATATATAAATACATGTATGTAATATATTGTTTTCTTTGTTATTTAGCTTCTTTTACACGTTCTATATATGCACCTTTTGGTTCTTAATCACCTCTGCTTTGTGCTAGTTGGCTTTGCTTTGTAACACATAAGTATGGTGAATGGTGTGATGCCTGTCCATATGAATCATTGACCAGGCACTGTTAGCATAAAAATAAACCTGGAGATTCCAACTTTTGTATAAATCAGAAAGCAAGAAAAAAGATGTACTTCATAATTTGTTGATAAATGATAATTAACACATAATATATTAATTAGTGTGTTTCAGATGATCGATTATGAAAAACAATAATCGATCATCGGAATCGATAGCATTTTTTGATTTGTGTTCCTATTATCGGTACAACACTACTGTATAGTATACGTATATTCACACTTCATATATCCTCTGTATACTACAACGTATGTAGAAAGTTAGGTACATGTATTACCAGTATATAAAGAGAGACAAGCTATCAAGGATGTTGATTAATACAATAGGATTTTCTATTGGTCCTACTGGTTATAGCCACATTTTCTAATGTCTAAATGAATCACAGATAATCAGAGAAAACAAAATTGATCATTGACTTCTGAAAAGGAAATGACTGACTAGCACATGGAAAAGTTATACCACACAGCCAGTATAATTACACTGATATGAAACTGTCTTGACTTACTATATCTAGATAGGAATACTCAGGGTTTATTACATAAGCACTTGTAAGCAGGAAAACCATCACAAAATGATTCACTATCAACAAGTATTTCTTTTTCACACTTGAATTTACAAAATCCACGGGGAAAACAGGTCCTAAGTATTTAAAACTTAAATATGCTTTTTATACCATACTAACATTTTTATCATAAAACTCAGAAGTTTCATAGAGACAAGCCAAGACTTTCAGAATATAAAATGATGAACGGTTTCCCCATTTTAAACAATATTTGAGATTTTAAGCCTAGCTATCATTTTTCTCTTAATATCATAAAATCAATTTCTACAAAATATGGACTGAAATAGACCTCTATGTTCTGTAAAACCTGAACAACTAAATCTGACACTTAATGTGTTTCCTGATGAATGTTTAAAACATATAGGTCCTCAAATAAAAGTCATCAAACTATCTTAAAACTATTCTCGTTCAAGGAATGGAATTATCTTTTAAATTAGAATGTGCATTGTGCACAATTGGTACTCAATAAATTTTAAGCCAATTAATTTATAATCATGCAAAGTATCAAATTCCTGAATTTTACAAACCTTTGTCCTGTTTAGACACTTAACCAATATTTATTATTCTCATTCAGCTTTTAAATATGTTTATTTAAAGCATAATTGGCCAAATTGCTTGTCCATTTCTTTCATAATTACCATTTTTAAATGAACCACAGTTCCCAGTTTTTCCACCATGGGGTTCTTTTTGTAATGCTCCACAAGATCTGTCAGGCTTTTGAATTTCTTCACCCCCTCCATCATAAGTTTCATCCTTTTACACAAAAACAAAACATGATTTAAAAAAAAAATCAAAATAAAAATTGCAATAACACACCTATTCAATGACAATCAATTACTGGTAATATTTACTGGGATATACTTAACTGTGTAAAACTGAAAAACTACATGTATACTGTAATTTTTCCATTCCCAACCATATTATTTGTCTCTCTAGTATTGAATTTATTCCATAAAAGGAAAGTTACTACTTTGTAAATAAGGATTTTGACAGCATTTTTCAGCAGAACTGATGCTCACTTTATCGTGGAAGCAGATCATGACATGAGTCACTTTATTGTCTGTCCGCACAGACAAGACAAAATCCCCCGGTTTACTCTGGCTCTCCCTCACTAAGTAGCTACCGTTCTTTCCTTTCTCCATCAGCACCTTCTCTGCTTCTTTCCCAGATATACTACCATGGAACCATCTAAAATGAATGAAATTGGAATATTTATTTTCAAACAATGGACGAATTGCAAGAAACATATCATTTACAATCTCAAACATACTGACCTTAAACCCAAGTTGTCAACAAGCACAATATATGTATTTTAAAATGGCATGAAACTGACTCCATTTTTAGATCAACATCATTTTTATGAATGTACAAAATCCAGTAACATTAACATTCCCTGAATGGACTCGCTATTTCTTGCTGACCTTTCAGTGGTGGGGTCCTCTGAGTTTGAGGGATGTTTAGACTGTATGACCTCCCCATTTCTCTCTTTTAACTGTCCCTGATTCTCCATATAATACTGCACCAACTCTGCCAGGGTGGCGAACTTCTCACCCCCATACAGGTCGTAGAACTCCCCATTGTTCTGGATCTTAATGTGGGTAACATAGGATTTCCTCCTGAATAAAATATAAGAAATCATGTATTTTGCATGTATATAGCAGTGAAATTGTTATTGATTTTTGATTCCTTTAATATATTTGCATTTTGCCAAAGTTCTTTTGGTGATTATGTAATTTAATATTTTTAGAACATTCCTATAACCCTGTGTGTATATCAGCCTTCTCCTTACAAATAAAATGCCATAAAATGATAAAATATGGAGATCAAGATCTTATTTCAATTCCATTAAACAGCTATGTCACAGAAGATATTAACTATTCCAGCTAACCAAACTAACCAAAACACTCATATGTTCAACCATTTGTTCTGTCTATCAGCTAATCTAAAATATAACCTTATTCTTATAGTCTAGCACTGCACTTTGTCCCTTCTCTTGTAAATGGTCAAAAACAAAAACATTCAGATTGTTGACCTTTCAGACAAGACTGTGACCTCTTTATAAGTCTGGTATGAGCATTATGCTGGTGAATGTCTGTCTATCATTTTCTTTAACATGTTTTAATGATAACAGGGCAGGGGGTCTTCAAAAGATTAAATTCTTCACAATTTTTTTTTGAATACATATAAATGTTTAATGAAGGATAACAGAAATCTTTTGTTAATAGACACTGAAAAATTTCTTTCATCATTAACAGATATTCACCACATGGATCTTACAGGTGCATTTGTTATATTAAAGGGCTGTGGGATTCACATAATGTACTGTATCTGGGAACCCCCCCCCCCTTTTCACCACTATTGCACTCAAAGCAAGTGGGTGAATTCAAATCTTCTTGGATTAAAAGTGTTTCATGTCTGGAAGAGTTTTAAAATGACCAATATATGTTTATAAGTGTGATGAGAAAATAATCTCAAAACCAGGGACTAAAATAATATTTTTTCATACATATAAGTTTCATATAAAGAATATGCTTATTGCACTAGAGTTAAAGAGGAAGTATGGTAATCAATTTCACATAGTTATTCTCAAGTGAAATTGTAAATTTAACTGGTCAAAATGTTGTTCAAATCTTGGTGAGATGACCCTCTAAGTACTGATTTTCTGACATTACTTGGAATATTTCCAAACAATTTTTTTTAGCCTACACGAGTTTTTGCACAAGGAAGTAAGAAAACTCAAGTCTCCTCTTTTGCAGAAACATTCTCCCCTCCAGGGTGTAATGGCCTGTCTTTTTATTGCTGAAGGCAAACACAGTTATCTCAAACACCTATATATCAAATACAAGGTGGACTGTATTACTTATATAAACCTTGATATAAACCTTGCTATTAAGTTTATCCTTGATATCCTGCACACTAAAAAATCACCATGTTGACATTATCAAGTTTAGACAGTATGATTTTTCTATGAAGCAGAAAAAGGATAAATGTTGGTATCTGGCTTTACATGTACCCTGATAAACATTATTAGGTCATATTGTATCTACGATTTAAAATTTGATGATTTCCCAGAAATGTCACTAGATAAATTATGCATTTATGCGTCAAATAAAACACTTCAGATATTTACAGAGACAGAAGAAATCTCTGGTGAGACTGCAGCTCTACTGGTTTGTACCTATAAATTTGCTCCTGGGCTTATAGGATATTGACTAAATTAGGATTTTGCCTGCCAAAAAAAATTGTTTCCAGTTACAGAGACAATCTGATAAACTCTTTTTTTCATCCTAAGTTAACAGTTCTTATTAGGGGTGCATATAATTTAACAATAAATGTCTATCAACAAGGAAATTGCAGTGCCTAATTTTAGGACACATTATACATCCACTGAAGACTCTAATATTCTTATTTCTTCCTAAGTACTTCTGTTCAGGGGTCTAAGTTTGTGACTGATACAGGCCCCTAAACATTGAACTAACAACACCGCCAAAAGGAAACAAATCTAATGGAGCTCTTCACACTACAGGATACAACCTACCAGTGACCGTTCAATGCTTGTCATGGGATGTTTCACTTACCAACACTTTAGACAAGACATTCACCATGTTGGACATATGTTACAAATACTAACACATTTGACATCCTAAAGTAAACATGGTCTCTTCTCATATTCCAGGCCATTCCAAGTTTTTTTCCCTATGTTAAGGGGTTGATTCTGACGTAATTACTAGAAATTTTTGCTCTAACCTTGGATGCTAAACTTGGAAAGGAAAAACTATGAATGACCCAACTCTTAACCAACAATGCTTTTGGCAAGCTCCTGGGAAGACAAACTGCCATTCAAATTACAACTTGGAGTCTTTATCTACCGGTATAAATAATTATGTACAGCTCTGTTTACATGATGAAAATTCAGTGAAAATTACAAGCTAATTTACTTTTTTTTTAGTCTTATACCTAGTATAGTAATAACAGGAAGTAACAAGGACTAGTACGATAAAATATACAGTGAAACTTGTCTAATCTGGAATGTTGTCAATTTCTTTGGAACCAGTGGTGTCCAGATTATACAAGTTCTATTGTACATTAATGACCACACCATAGTTATATTCCCTTTTCCGATTCTTACCTTACAGAGAGCGTGAAGTCACTAGGACTACTGGTACTGTGTCTGGCCAGAAAGCTACCATCATAACCCCGCTCCTTTAATAATTCTTCAGCCTTCCCACCCGAACTGTGGGGATGAAACCATCTACAATGTCAACACACAGAAAATTAACACTGGTAGATCAACTTCAAAATAGATTTTTTCAAAATATGTTTTATCTTAACTAAACAAATTCTCATGACAAGTTTCATTTAATTACACTGGTCGATAATTTGTAAGTATAATAATTTTTCAAAAAAAAATTATTCATATTTACAGATTGCATGTTTGCACACTAACATTTAGGTACAAACATTTACCTATACAGTGGATCTATGATTTAACAGGCATAAATGCAGAGCAAGTATGTCATATGTTACAGTCAATCAAGACAATGTCTTCTTTAAAATATATTGACATAAATAGAGTACATGTACTATACATGTATGCATTCCATGACCTATTTTATATTAAATTGAATCTATCAAAAATAGTTTAATTATAACAAACAGTCAAATACATATATTTTTAAAGTATTCAATTTTACAAAACTCAAATTTTAACAACCTTGGACCGCATGTAACACTTAAATAATCACTAAAGTTAAACTAGAAAATTCAATTTTGCATCTTTGCAAGGAAGGAAATGAAAAATTAAAATTTTGTATTGTAGAATGTATTTCTTGGTTCTCACCTTCTCTGTATAGGAAGAGCGTCTTCCTTTGTACTACCTTTCTTCATTATTCAAAACATTCAAGAGACCTCTAGAAATTCTACTTCTCCTTCAATAGGCCATAATAATTTAGAACCTTCATACACTCAAGAAACCTTCATTCATTTATACAATCAAGCACAAGGAAACGAAAAAATTTGTTCCAACACTTATACAATTCCTTCCTAGTTATTGAGGAATTAACTCCTCTGCTGCTGAAATCAGATCTTGAGCAGTGATTATAGCTCCCATGTACCAGTAGTAATTAACCTTTGTCCACTCACTGTTTCCTTGTTTTCCGAAAAGAAAAAAATCTGTATGTTGAAATAGCAATACAGAAAGCAAAATATGTAATGATAAGGTAGAATTCCCTGCCAATTAAGGTTTCAATCACAAAAACCTTGCTATAGCAAACTGATTAATAAGCATCCGTTAAATTAAATCATAGAGGCAAGATATCCCCAGCGGCTTAAATCCTCAGTACCATATAAGTACATTGTACCTCCAGGTATACCAGATAATGCTATAAATTTTGCCTCACTAAATTACGAAACTGCTTAATTGTCTTGGAAACATATATCCACCATCATGGTAAGCACACAATAAGAATGACTTGTCCAGATAAGTACATGTAATACACAATTCACCTGATCCTTAACTTCCTTTTGAGCAAGACTTTCACATAGCGGTACACACTCAGCAGTGAATTCAAACCTATACTTCATCTAGTATACACCACAATGTATTAATAAAACAGATCGCTTTCTGTGTAAAACAAAGACTGTAAGAAATATTTGATCAATCATCTAGAAAAACAAAACAGTAACTCATGTCAACCAGCTAATTTAAAAATGTGGAACAAATAAATTTGATGGAGAAAAACTGATTTTCTGCACTACAGGAAAGTCACTGCATCAAAATGACTATTTTTTCTTCTTACATACACAAATAAACCCTAAATAATTTCCTTGTGATGAGCGATTTTTTTTTCTAAACACAGAATAAGTGAAGGGTACAGGACTATTAATCACGTAAAACTGTACAATCACTTGTTGCTCAACACAATACTTCTATAGTCTCCTCTTGAATAACGATGAGTTTACCACAGATATAGAAACTGTATAGGTCCAGAACAATTTAACACGGAAGTTAAAACTACAAACTACTTATCCGTTTGGAAGTCAACCCCAATCATTCTATAATCAATAAAACCGTGTCAGGCAATATACCTGTGTGCAGTTTTCTTATCTCTTTTTCTGAATGCAAATAAATTTGAAGCATAAAGAATGGAGGAGTTTTAAATCCCAGCTGTCTGACTTACTATATAAATGATTTGTTTTAATGCCTGGTCTATATATATGTAAAGACAAATGCAACTACAAGGAAAATGTAACATTACATGATTTTCAGTTTTAAAATTTTTTAAATTTTTGATAGATAGATAAAGTAATGAATTACAATAAAGTAATAAATAAAATTTCTTCCTAAAATAAAATCAATATTTCTTTGAATCAACACCCATAAAAGGTTAATTCAGCTTACATGTATTATAGCTGCTAGAGCATCACCTTAAGAAACTGGGGCTTTAATACAAGTACTGACGTTATATAACAAAAGAACAGCTAGCGAAAATTTTAAAAAGTCTACATTTATAAATGTAATTCAAAGATACATTAAGAGCTATTAAATTTGTACACTGTCCAAACATTTTTTTTTAGTTTTGAGGGCAGCCAATTATATTTCTTCTTTCACTTTCTGCAATGTTCAGTAAATGATCTGCGTAATTATCGTACATTTAAGGATTTCTTTTAAAGAGATCATAATTGTCAAAACCTTTAGTAAGTTGCTGGAAATTAAACAACTGAATGCCTTTAGAATGCCCTTTGTTTAAAATAACCTGTAAAAAGACATACTTTTACATGAATGACCTGGTGACCCAAAAACGGAAGATTTCTCCAGGTACATATGTACATTTTTTAGCAACACAAAATTGTGACACATTTTTTTTCATTATTTGGAAATCTAATCAAATTAATGGACATAGATATATATATATATATATATATATATTAAGTAAAAAACAAATAAAATGTTTGATTTAATTTGATATAAATACTGCATGCAGCAAGACTTTTTCCCCTTCTCCCATTAACAGAAAGCATATTGCAACACAAGGATCACATGTGGCATCTTATGTTCCTTCCTTCTTAAATTTTACATTTAATGAATATATAACATGTAAGACTGATATGCAAATGTGCTTAGAATATCTTACATGCAGTTACACTATGTTCATGCAAGTTGGTTTACAATGGTGTTCAAGAAGAAAACAGTTGTGACTGCAGAACAGATCAGAATAAAACACAAGAGACAACTACTATTCTACATTGTGAGCAGTCCTCATTCCTTTGTATCGATTGCAGACAGAAAGAATTTCTAAAGTTGTATAAGGCAAGCAGTGAAAAATACATAGATTGATAAGCAGTTTAAGAAACAGATCTAGCTCTCTTCTCATTGGTGGACTTGCCTTCTCTGCTGACCAATCAATTTAGAGATTCTTTCCGTCTCGGCTCCTTTTGGAGGCAGAGGAACGCTTCTCCTCTCAGACATAATCGTTAAGCCCTAACGAATTACTGAGACATAACAATAATTGGGAGAAGCATCTGAAGTAGGCAAAACTTATCTCTCATTCATCACACTGAAGTTATCCTGAAGACCTAAAATGTACATATACAGGCAATTAATAGATACAGGATATGGTTTTATAAATGTGTACAACAGAACATAGTCTATACAATACATATGAGTCATTATTTCTATTTTTGTTCACATCAGCTGTTTTACATCAAGGCCAAGTCTACACTAGATTTATGTAGTAAATTTGCAACATGGTTTCATATTTAATGAATGTGGCTATCGATAAAAATTTATAAATCATAGCAAATCTTCCCTATTTGGCAAATTTAAATTCATATCCTTAGTACAAACATACATTTGTACTTATTATATTTAAATATATTATTCTGAATTATTTGACAAATTTACAAAACCCTTGCACAAACAAGATTTGATAGCTACACAAGGATACATATATACAACGTGAAGTACTTGTCTATTTGTTGGCGTATCTGACGACATGTGACAGGAATTTTATGGTACTGAAATCTACAGCTTCAACTAGCTACCACTTCATAAATTTGTCTCCATGTATAATTGAAGCTCTCCATTGGATGAGGGATTACACTACAAGATCTGTCACATACTTCAGATCAGGCAATCGTATCTCACCACTTATCTTTAGGAGTGTGTACTGATATTTACAGATACATGTACATGTTTGTCAATGTACTCACAAAGTATGCTTTTGTTAAAAGGTTCCTAAATCCCTACATTTGCTTTACATATATTCATTGTATAATTAAAAAAGTAATATATGTATATGCATGTACTATTCTAGCAGCTTTTAAAATATTCTTGTTTTAAATGCCTATAATCTAAAAAATTTGAAATTGTTATCATTAGACAAAAGTACATGTATATACATGCATCTAGTTTTCTTTCCATTCATGTACTTTATTACTCTATTTAGTTTATATGCATATAATGTCTAAAGAATCTCAGATTTCCGGACTGATGAAATCTACTAAGAATTATGATTTTAACAAAGAACCACTATTCTTTCTGAATAAAAGAAAATTCATTTGCCAAAGAGTAAGACCTATACATAATATTGATTGTAATCTAGAC